AATCTCGATATTTAGATCGGAAACTTGCATCACTCTGCTTCTTCATGTTTTGTTTATGATTTCTTCTCTGGTCTGCGTTGGAGTTTTTTAAGTCTGTAATAGTATGTTTTATTTGTAGGTTATGTGCTCAACCGTAATAAGAGCCCTTTTAGTTAAATGAGGTACCAAGTTGCAGATCACTTGTCGGTTTTAAGTACGTTTCCTTAATCCTCGCATTCTATGCCTGTATTGATGTGTTGGTACATAGTTGATCAAGTACAAGGATTCACACATTTGTCAACCTTTGACTATTTCATTATGATAAAAGATTATTCATTTGTTTATTTATTTGCACCAACAGTGTAACAACTGATGAGCCATGAGTTGGTATTTATCAGTTAAATGAGATATCCTTTGGATTGGGAATCATTGTGAGCATGAAAATTTTGTGCTTATGTGTTACAACCATACTTACCAGGACCACACCACCTTTCTTGGAATTTTGATTGTGGTTTGCTTTCCAGTCCACAATATCATCGATATTGGGATCCAAACTCATGTATGGTAATCTTCAGTTGTATATATCTTCCAAGAGGTTGTTAGCAGTTACCTACTTGGAGATGCGTAGTTTTATCTAACACATTTCAAGGGTGCTTATGTACTTGCTATTTTTTCACTTCAGCTGTATCTTGCTGATGGATGATCTCCCCCATTGTTATTTAGGTGTGATCCTTGTCATCTGGCTTTTCATCTGGGTTTAGTTAAGTTCTAGATTTAGCCTTCCCGATTCAACTAATTTGGACTGTCTCACTAAAACTCCTGAATTTTAATGCTCCAAGACCAACATGAAAGAGTCATACTCCCTGTGGGGCAGTTGAATGTAGTACTTAATTTGCAGGATTTACTCAAATTTCTCAAGATGAGAATGATCATGGCTCAGGTTTGAGTATGTGATGTAGAACAGAGTAGGAAAGAGAGGCGAAGAGAAAGAAAGAAGTGTGAGATAAGAGATTAAAGACGAAAGAAAGAGAGGAATCATATTAGAGAGAAAGAGAGGAGTCAGATTAGAGATTAGAGAAAGAGACTAGAAAAGAGAAGATGCAATTCATTTTCATTCAAATATGAAGTATTTGATCCATTGACAACCTCCAGTATTTATAGGGGATTAGGAGTCTTGGTAGAATTAATAATGACAATGATTCCCAAAGTATTCTCATAGGGAATTAGTATACTTTTTAGAAATCCAAAATGTGATTTCTAGAATACCTAAATAGGAAATGAGTGCACTTAATACAAAAGGAGTTCCTAGAAAGACCAAAAGATTTTTTTATTTTCACACAGCTCTTAGAATTTCTAGGTCAATTAATTGATGATTTTTTGTTGATTTTTTTACTTAGAATAAATTTTTCTTAAATTCTTTATAAAACTAGGTGGTTCTCCATCAATATGTCTTTATTACACACACACACACACATATATATATATATATATATATATATATATATATATATATATAT